GTCTGGCTAGTAGATTGGATGCTCAAGTGCCTGTCCTAGTCCTGGTGATCGTTTTAAAAGATCTATTTCTGGAATCACATTCTAGTTCACTCTTACCTATTAAGACCATAGTGAGCACATTCCACAATTGATAATGCAGGTACTTGAAAGATACGTCAATAATTGTCATAGCTGTTGACCGTATTGTTATTTTGGGTTGGCGAAACGTTCACAATATGTAGGGCTAGTCTTCAGGTCCATTGAGTAGTTTACATAAGTACTCTTTTGAGTCCAATATAATTTGGGCAGCTCACCAGAGTCATTGTTCCAATAGCAAATCAAGTTAGAAATGTTTAGAATGTCCCTTCCTATCAAAATCATCCACCCACAGCATGTCAACAACTACAAAATATACGCATATACACACAGTTCACTGTAGTAGAAGCACAAGGTATGATGGTAAAAATTACTTTCACTGTCTTAAGATGGCAATCATCACGAATCGCCCTGTTTATTCCGTTGGTGTTGCCATCCACGGGACGTAAAACCTCCACTACATCAAACAAACATTAAAAATAATAATTCGAACAAACATCGAATCAAATTATACACACTTTGCCTGACTTGTACAGTCCATATACGATATGTTAAAACTTAGTGCCCTGAAGAAAGACTGCTACAGATCTACTAATCCATGAGGCACAATTCTGCATTGTAAGAAACACAAGGTTACATTCACCATGCATAAGATCGCAGGTTTGCTAAGAAAGACTCTACCAGTAAATGTTGACAAACCATCACCATAGAACTTTAGTCTGAGCGCTAAGAAAGACTCTACCAGTAAATGTTGACAAACCATCACCATAGAACTTTAGTCTGAGCGCTAAGAAAGACTCTACCAGTAAATGTTGACAAACATTCACCATAGAACTTTAGTCTGAGCGCTAAGAAAGACTCTACCAGTAAATGTTGACAAACCATCACCATAGAACTTTAGTCTGAGCGCTAAGAAAGACTCTACCAGTAAATGTTGACAAACATTCACCATAGAACTTTAGTCTGAGCGCTAAGAAAGACTCTACCAGTAAATGTTGACAAACATTCACCATAGAACTTTAGTCTGAGCGCTAAGAAAGACTCTACCAGTAAATGTTGACAAACATTCACCATAGAACTTTAGTCTGAGCGCTAAGAAAGACTCTACCAGTAAATGTTGACAAACATTCACCATAGAACTTTAGTCTGAGCGCTAAGAAAGGAAGAATTATCAAGTTATCAGTTATCATCAACATTGGAAGCCATTTACAGTTTAAATACCGAAAGCTGGCGTAGCATTTGAAAACAACGGGTCGAACACTTGTAATAAATATTTTTTAAACAGCAGATTTTTCTCCACATTTTTCTTAATTTGTACATTTTGGATTATATACTAGAGATGATATGTGTAAAAATAAGATTTCAAATTTATTCTTGTCTCCCACTAGTCATTGCCCAAGAGGCCTTTCATTCATTATCAGAACTCGCCAGCTGTGTTAGGCGTTGAAACAAAAGTTTTACTGAAATGATTTTTATATGTGCAATATAAGAATTTAAAAGTTACCGTTTTACCAAGAAAGCTGGTGAGTTATTGGAAACTTATAGGCCTAAAATTTGTGTAGAAGTAAAGTCAACAAGAGTTTATATATTTTTATCATGAATTTTAGACTAACTGCTAAATATCCTAGGATCTTATGAAACAACTTCAGCCGTCCTATCAGTATATTTAGTGAGCTTAGCGATCTGTGCTACAAGAAATGCCACTACAACTCGGCTATTTATATTGAATTATTATTTGAAGACATTACACCAGCATTTTGCTATCAAATATTGTTCAGAAAGTAAGAGTCCTAATGCTCTTGTAGCTGCAGATCTTTCAACAAACCAACTGTTCCAACTGTACAACAGTCTAGTGGTTATCACAAAGCATCTTTAGGAATTTTACTGTGAACCATCCCCTGATAGCTTAGAAGGCTGATAATGCCACTTCCTTTTAATAACTTATGATCAGGCAGTTAATTCCAGCCGTAACGATTAGAGCAGATAGGCTGATCCTATACATGCAATCTTCATCCAATTCTTAAGAAACAGTCACATATGTACTTCCGGTTCCTTCCTATTCATCAGCTAAGAAAAGATAATATAAAATAGTGCTTTCCTCATCAGAGCCAACCTGCTCATCACTTAGGTAAAGAAGAAAATCAATTATGTATTGTTTAGCCATATTTCCCTTTTATAATTTACCTCGTTGATCTGTCTACAGACACGATACGCACCATATGTGTACCATAGCAAAACACAATCATCAGACTTTTATTTGTACTATTTCCATTCTCTTGTAGCATCCTTTTTATGTGTGACCAATTAATTGATTTGCTGATGTATAACTTAATGTAGACCAACCTTCACTGAATGAAACCTGTGAAAACTGTAGCACATCTGCACTGGAAGAAAGGCTATATATATAATCTACTGGCAGCTTTACGTCTCATCCTTTCGTTACTGGATCTTCATCTGGGCACTAGTCGGGCTTCTATTTGGTCCCGACTAGTGAAAGTGGGTTTTCTCGGGGTACTCCCGTTTCCCCCCACATCTAATTCTCAGGCATCGGATCCATAGATCCCAGCCTTGGCACCTTCATTCACTGATCCTCGGCAGACCCTATAAAGGCCCGTTTGCGTCATTTTGTTTCGATAACTTGTCAAAATCGGCTGACGACTTGCTCCTTCTTCAAAGATCAACCGGTTTCTGCTTCTGCTTCGACTTGGACTTGCCTTCACTACTGCCTACCTGCCTCTCCTTCATACGACCATCCAATATATATATATATATATATATATATATATATTATTTAATTAATTAATTAATTATCCTTCGCCCATACGGCTCATTACTCCGCTGACCACTAATTGAAATGTAACCTTGTGCCACGAGCAGGATGAAGGAGGATTGTTTAATCTTCGAGCACCCTTGATTAGTAATTATTTCTTAAGATATAATTATTTTTAAATCAAAATAACTGCCAGGGAAAACAAATAAACTTCTCATCCGAACGTTCAGGATATTGAGAGAAAACCCAGCCAACTGTTGCTCGTTGCACAATATGCCATCAGCACACATGATAGCTGCTTACTTCAATAAGTCGGATCAGGGCTCAAAACTTAACAAATATATGCTTGACAATTTGCATGATTCATTCGGCCAAATCACCAGAATGAAGGTGATATGAAGAATGGTACACTTTCACCACACCTAATCCCCGGAACAGCTCAGCAAACAACTGTCTATTGAAGTTGGCTACATGGTATTTGTGGGTTTTTCAAGAAGTTATGAATATTGTTGTTCATCGTTAAGCCATCTGCGATTGACTATGTCAATGTGTTGACCAACTAATAAACTTCAGTGTACTTGGAGAAGTAATTGACAATGACCATCGCATACTGATTGAGGAAGATGATTATATACAGGCCAATTCTCTTGAGATTACAACCTATAACTCTCCAACACAGTTTTCCTTGCCACAGACAGTTTTAACTCTAGGGTAGTGTACACAGTATCTTTACGTGGATGTATCCAGAAACCCACTTTTATATCTTCATAACAGGGAATGATATCTTGCTGCCCTCCAGTCTTTGCATTATGCAAAGTCCAAAGTATTTCATGCTTTACAGCTCTGGGGATCATTAATTGCCTTACAGGCTGGTTAACACATCTGTATGATTCATAATGATAGAACAACACACCATCCTTCACCCAGTTTGTCCTTTCTTAGTGCTGAAAGCAGTCTTAAGTCTGCTTTCGTCATCCATTTACTTAAAATTAGCTGGAATTCTGATCTAGTGTACTGAACCAATTGATGCTTTCCAGTGTATAAGATATTCATCCATATGTGGTATCAGAAAGCCATTGACATGTGTCACTACATTAACCTGCCATGGTGCTTCTTCCTCCTTTCAGAAAATCACCATTGGAAATGACAAGCACTCTTTGGGAGGTGAAGCCAAGCACCCATAGTTATGGATTAGTTCTGTACAACACCTGCACTTGCAAAGATAACTGTTTGAGCAAGTGCAGTCTGTTTTCCAGCAAGAAAACAGTGTACTTGATGCACCACTTCTACCACCATCACAAATGGTGACAACGAACTAGGCTACATGGAACAAAACTTAATAATTAAATAGACAAGTCTTTATCCAGTTACTTTACAGCAATGCATGCTTAGCCAGAAACATTACTGTAGAATATTCTATGTCTAGTTATTCTATAGCAATGCACGCTTAGTCAGTCACATTACTGTAGAATATCCCATGTCTAGTTATTTTACAGCAATGCAGGCTGAGTCAGTCACATTACTGTAGAAAATTGCCATGTCTAGTTCTTTTACAGCAATACATACTTAGTCAGTCACATTACTTCTATACGCACCATATAAAAATTCCATGTCTAGTTATTGGACTATCCAATTAAGATATTATTTTGTCAAAGTACAGTATAGAAATGTTACGGTCAGGTACAAATTAAGCTGATTGTCATTGCTCTATGTATATTCGTACCTTCGGCCTATTTCAATATTCGGAATTTCTGTTTACATCCAAATTACCAGAAGTTTTTCAAATTATAAACGTAATATACTTTCTGTAAAATTATGATCTGCTACTGGCATTTTTGAATCCTTACGTAACTAGTAATCGTGAAAAATATGGACTGGATATAGCGTAGCTTTTGTAGCTTAGGTGAAATAGCTGGAATGCTGTAATAACATGTTTTTATCTATGTATTACCAGAAATGTAACTTTATTTTCCAGTGGATTTTTTTACATTACTTGAACCATTATTTCCTCAGAGAGTATACGATAGATTCTTTAAGAACAGAATATATTTTCTAAATAACTGTTTTCCATGGAAACGAAGTACAAAACAACAATAAAATGTATGTCGTAGAAACAATTCCATTCACAGCGACCATTATACTTTTCTTATTTCAGGAAAGACATATGAAGGAATGGAACTGAGCATTACTAAAGTAAGCCGACTGCACATGGGAGCTTTCTTGTGTGTTGCTTCCAATGGTGTGCAACCGTCAATAAGCAAGCGCATTCTTCTCCATGTTCATTGTAAGAAAATTGTCTTTTTTTTCTAATTTTCTACACCAACTTTCAACATCATGGCGTTAAAACTAATAGTTTTATTTCGATTCTTGAAAAGTAGACATGTTCGAAAGTGAATGTATATAAAATGACCTATAGTCATATCACTAAAAATGTGTGGCTCGTTATGTATAACTATTCTGTTTTTTCCACAATGGTAGAAGTACATCTTTGTATAAAACGCGTTAAAGAAACAAATGAATATATGTATTACTCACAATTTATATAAAAGTTTTTGAACTAACACATCTACTCTATTTTAACGTACAGTACTAAATAAATATATAACATAAATACAGAATAATATAATTTATTTGACAAGTCTGTTTAACACCTTTACTAGTAAAATTATTTTCTGGAATTTAGTGTTTATTTTATGCGAAATGTGTGCATCATTTCACCCGTTTTGTCTTTACTCATATTTTTATAATGGAATATTAGTTTTCTAGAAACTATTATGTAGTGCTTTTGTTCAATAGTTCCTCCGATGATATGGGTTCCCAACCAGTTAGTTGGATCACCGCTAGGGGGAAGTGTTAAGATGGAGTGTCATACCGAGGCGTTTCCAGCTTCCATCAACTACTGGACTAAGCAAAAGGGCGAGATGATAGTGGATAGTGAGAAGTACACAGTTACGAAAGAGGAAGAAACCTACAAAATTCATATGATTTTGATCATAAATAACGTAGAACCAGAAGATTTTGGAAGTTTTCGATGCTTTGCAAAGAACTCCTTAGGCTCGACAGAGGGCTCAATCCGGCTGTATGGTACTGACTTTAATTGACTTTTGTAATTCATATTTTAAGGTTTATATAATTATTACCATTGTTATAAGTATTTGTAAGCTTGGTATAAGCAAATTTTGCATGATATAGATTAGTATTTAATAATTATAATTGAAATAGAATTGACTTGAAGTATTTTTGTATTTCATTTGAGATAAATTTTTTTTTTTTATTTATGAAAAAGAAAATTGGGTTGTAGTAGAACTTTCAAGTTAGCTTCTAAGTTAACAAAGCTCTAGCTGAATAATATCGCGCATACAATTCAGTTGAAAACAAAAGGGTTACCTTATATCAGCTATCGTGATCTTGGTTACTGTAGGTACTGCAGTAGATACTAAAATTAGGTAGTGAAATGGGTAATTTTAAAATACTTTTTAGATAGCGATGCTCAAAAATAAAAAGTATAAATGTAAGATAAATATCCATTATTTTAACCCAAACAAAGTTTTGAATCGGTTTTAGTAAAACATTCTTGTTCCATTTACATTATAACCATATTCTAGGACAATCCATAGTAAAAGATACATACTAATTTCAAGGAATTTGAAATAATGAATATTCGGTATTTATCTTCTCGCTCTGCTGACTACTCAAAGAATAATTATGTTCAGAAAGTTGTATATGGAAACCTCGTGGAATCTTTAAAGCAAAACCTAAGTGTTGACAACGCCTGAAATTATAGCATCATTAACTTGATTTTAGAAAATGTTTTAATTAAAGCGGCAAATAACTAAAGGAAATTAACCTGTTTTCGTATTTTTTTATCTTTCATACATTTCTAAAGTGCACAATAAGAATTTGTGATTCTATTTAAACATAATTTTTTATAATACTGGAAAAATTTCAGTTGCTCATTTCATTGCAATTCACATTTCCCAAGTTTCACAGTAATTTACATACTATATTACATATTTAACAATCACTTTTGCATTTAAAATTCCAAAACTTTACATTATAGCCACATTTCTCAGGACTAACAGACAATATCCAACATTTATAGTTTAATTCTAATTTACGTTAATGATAATTCTTTAGCAAAAATTTGTTCTTGATCGTTTAACAAATTCCTTTCAAACCCACATCAGTTAGTACACTTCAGCTGTTAATTCAAAGAAAATCCCATAAGTGTATTTATTGGATCCAAACTTATTAGAGCTAGCTCTTCATACATTGATATATTATTTTAAAGTTCCTCTAATTTTTATCTCGGTTTCGTATGGTATCCGCAAATTAAAGAAGCTTATTAAGAAATAGACAAGGTGGAAGGAACGTGTTGCAAATTTTTTCAGTAATAACCAACTGAAATATTATATATTGCGTATCAGGCACTATAATTATTCAACACACAATACGGTTTCTCTAATATTATAAGCTAATTATAAGTTAAAATACTTAAAAGGTTTTAAGTGGTTTGAGATTTACAGCAGTTCGTTTGGAGGGATCGGTTTGTGTAGAATTACGTTCATAATGGCAAATATTATATGAAGGCTTGGAATACATAAATCAGGAAGTATATATATATATATATATATATGTGTGTGTGATTTATATTAAAGTGTTTCAGTATTTAAATCAAGAAGTATATATGTGTGTGTATTACATTAAAGTGTTTCAGTATTTAAATCAAGAAGTATATATGTGTATGTATTACATTAAAGTGTTTCAGTATTTAAATCCAAAAGTATATATATGTGTGTATATTATATTAAAGTGTTTCAGTATTTAAATCAAGAAGTATATATGTGTGTGTATTACATTAAAGTGTTTCAGTATTTAAATCAAGAAATATATATATGTGCGTGTTACACTAAAGTGTTTCAGTATTTAAATCAAGAAGTATATATGTGTGTGTATTACATTAAAGTGTTTCAGTATTTAAATCAAGAAATATATATATGTGCGTGTTACACTAAAGTGTTTCAGTATTTTATGTTTAAATGTTTTCTTCTGTACAGAAATTCATATGCCACCCTCTCAGCATGCGTCAACTTCTAGAATACAGAGTATTGGAGGTAAGCTCTCTCTCAAAACATATTCTTTCACTAAGATTTGTTTTAATATTTCCAATCGAGAATTTTACAAATGCATTATACAAGTGAGATCTACGAATGAAGATATGACGTCATAACTTACTTTTGAAATTGTGATTGTCTAAAGTACGACAATTTCTCATTATACATCAAATTCATGTGCATTAAATGTTACGTAACTGAGAAAGAAGTTGAGAAAAAGTGTTTTTGTATAAACATCTCATTTTAGATTCCAACAAACTTTTAGTAGACGCCGATTTCGCTTGGAAGTGTGGTTTATTTCGTATTCAACTGATGTATACTTTTATATAGCAATATTTGTTTATGCCCTTAGCAGGAAAACAATTCAACTGATGTATACTTTTATATAGCAATATTTGTTTATGTCCTTACCAGAAAAACAATTCAACTGATGTATGCTTGTATATAGCAATATTTGTTTATGCTCTTAGCAGAAAAACAATTCAACTGATGTATGCTTGTATATAGCAATATTTGTTTATGCCCTTAGCAGGAAAACAATTCAACTGATCTATACTTGTATATAGCAATATTTCTTTTTGTCCTTACCGGAAAAACAATTCAACTGATGTATACTTGTATATAGCAATATTTGTTTATGTCCTTACCGTAAAAACAATTCAACTGATGTATACTTGTATATAGCAATATTTGTTTATGTCCTTACCGGAAAATATATTCACTGCGACTTTTCTCAACAAGTACTTTAAGTGAAAATGTTAATGATATCATGTGTTAAAACTAATCAGAAATTCTGAAGATGTTTTTCTACTTCTGGTTTGCTTCTGCAGAGGTATAGTACATTAAGACAGTTGTGGAGCCTTGTCACGCTGTTGCAGTCTATGTCGTTACATATTGACACGCTCTAGATGGCGATCTTGCAATTTGGCAATAGCTCTCAAACTTAGTTTCCATTGCAAGATACTACACGATAAGGCTGCAATGTCCAAGGCATACCATTCCTCCCTTCCTCTGACCTAGCATGGTCTGGTGGTTAGGGCACTCGACCCGCAATCTGTGGGTTGGGGATCAAAACCTGTTTCCACAAATGCTTGACCTTTCAATCGTGGTGGCGTTATAATGTGACTGGTAATCCTACAATTCGTTAGTAAACTAATTCAAAGTTGATGTTAAGTAGCTGCTTTCACACTAGTTTTCTCTCTCTCTTTCCTTTCTTTTATCTCTTTTCCCTTCAGTTTCTCTCAAACTTCTGGCACAGCTGCCTCCCTCATTTCTTCATTTTATAATTCATCAATATCTTGTACACATATTTCAGATCTTCAAACCCTTTTTAGCTTCAAGCCTTATTTCTCTTTCTTCCTGCTATTTATTTCTCCTCCTACCTGATTTTTTAACTATCACTTATTAGCCTTGCTGCTCTTTCCTCCTGCGATTCACTTCTTCTTCTTTCTGCTTTTCTTGCAGCTTCTGAACTATTTTTTGAAAGAGATTTTGATGTGGCTATACTTGTCATTTTAAAGTGTAATCATAAACTTTTCTCCTGAAGGGGTAATAATAAAAAAAAAAGCTTAAAGTCACTTACATTCAATTTTATACCAAGGGAAGTGATCAGTTCTTTATATCAGTTCCCTGTACAGTTTCCTGCCAGAGATGTGATTAGTATAACTAAGTACGAGCCTCAGTTCATCAGATATCCTTGTTTAAGACAAATAATGAGTACTTTTTAAATGTACTATGTTCAATACAGTTACACAAAATAGCACAACGGTAGTCTACTGCATTCTATTTCGAATGAAAGTTTTAATGGTCAAAGTCTCTTTGATTCCTAAAATAAAGTCATTTTCGACAGCTCAATAATTTTAAACTTCCTGATTGTTAACAGAATATCACTAAAAGTTAAAACACACTAAACGACACTCCCGCACATTTTGCTAAATGCCAAAATATTCCGATACTGTGGCGAAATTTAGTCTACCAGTATTTTTAAAACCCAGAGCACTGATACATGTAGATGAATTTCGAACGGTTCGTCTTGCCCATTCTGTGTTTAAACAGATTTAACTTAAACCATAAAATTTAAAAATAACTCGAGGTTATACTTGCTGATAGACACAACACAATAAAGTATTGAGTCTTGTTTGTTTGTTCAAGGCACATTTACTAGTGAATTTTAGTGTTATACGAAGAGTCTGCTTTGGAAAATTATACAACTCCACTTTAGGGGTTTAAGCTCTGTGGATGTGCTCCTTGATCATGATTATATTTTAAGCATAAACCTGAAAACACCACATTAAAGTGTGCCATGCATTCAGCCACATATTGAAAAAGAGAAACATATTTGAACATTGGTAAAATTAACTTATAAAACTGGTTGTGTCACGGCAAGGTTTCATGAGCTTTGAAGATTTCTTTTACAGTAGAATTTCCAACCGTTTATTTGTAATTAAGCACATAGCTACACAAAGGGCATTTTGTATTACTGTGTCAAGTTTGGTGCTGATTGATCAAGAAATGTGGAAACGTATAAGAAATAGATAGACACACACACACAAACATATTAATGTTTATTTTATATAGTTTAAATGGGGTCGAACCCACCACTGGAAATCTTGTTTCTCCGTGTTACTTCTGGGCACCGGGACCATAGGAGTCATCATGCCAAGTTTGGTGAAGATTGGTCAAATAGTGTACGAAGACTTAGCAGACAGCAAACAAACAATTTCGCTTTTATGTATATATATATAGAGAGAAGATTTCGGAGTTTTCTCTTTGAACTGTCTTAATGGTTTTAACTTTGTTAGCCTGCTAAGTTGAAAAAGCGCGCTTTAACTTTGGTATTTTCAATACTGAAATATTCTGCGACTAAACCATGTTGGTTATTATAGAGCTGTGGCAGAGGGTTCCGATTGGACACAATTTGGTGATGTTTCGTCAGTGTGTCTCCTTGCCAACCAAGCAAACGTAATGGGGAATTTCAGCCAATTATTATGATTTTTATGGGCCAGCGATACCTAGCGTTGGCCGTGCGTATACCCGATTCGATTTTATTACTCATTACGATCTTTACCAACCTACTCTCGAATCTAATCTAACTATTATATGTCCAAAGTAATTATATGACCCCTCCTTGTTACTTCTGGGGACCATTGGAGTCACCATGCCAAGTTTGGTGATGATTGGTCAAATAGAGTGCGAGGAGTTAGCAGACAAACATACAACATATTTCGTTTATATATACATATATATATGTAGATACCAGTTTCATTCTCCAGTTGTTCGAGGTATGCGACGAGCGTACTGTTATATGGGGCACGTGATCGGCTTTTCCCACTGAATTTTGTGTTCGCGGATTCTCACCTATTAAAAGACGCCACACTTTTATTGCCACGGTTAGGCTACGATCTGTTGCTGGTCTTTTATTGGATAGTCCTGGTACACCAAGTTGATCTATACTCCTTTGTTTTTCGATGTTATTAAGTACAAGAGGCATCCCCGTCTTGGAAATTCTAAATCTTCAACCTGAACACCTCATTATGATTTGAGTGTATGAATATCTTGCGTTCAATAGGATTGTTATATACCATTCTTAAAAGCGATAAATTTTCGACAGCATCGAAATGAAGCAAAGTATTATTGGCATGAAAAATCCAATATTATTACTGCTAAACATTTAAGTAATGAAACTGCTGCTAAAACTAAAGACCTGAGCCTAGTGCTTTAAATCTTCTTTATTACAGACCACACTTAACTGCCAAGAACAATATTAAATCCTGTAAAACATCTCCAATACAAAGACACAACTGCGTGATAATAAATATGATATAATAAGATATAACGTATAGAACTAAAACTGAAAATAAAGAACTAGGTTCTATGGTGTAAAATATCTAATTTAAGGAACAACAATAACAGTAAATGGACGAATATTGTAAAATAATCTAATTTAGAGAACCAAAAGTGACAGTAGAGAATTAATACTATAAACATGTAAAATAGAGGATCATAAATGACTGTAGTATATCATTATTTGTTAAAGTTAAGGGATCAAAACTAATAGTAAATAACTAATATCTATTTTTTAAAAGTTAATACTAACATTACAAAATTACTTTTAACACGATGAAACGACTAAGTTACAGAACTGTGTTAATACAGTATAAAATGTATGTTACAGTATTAATATTATTATTCTAAAAGCGAAAACTAAATCTAATGCTCTAATTTATTTAGATTTTATGGTTCCTGCCACAATTAATAATGTTTCATATCTTGAAAGGATTCTGATAATGGCTAATGTTGGTTATTCTGTAATAACAAGCTGAATCAAGATCTGATTTGAAATAGTTTTTAACGGCACGGGTTTTTAAGACGGACTTTATTTTATAGAAAAGTTTCAGAATACCGAGAAGAAATATTCAGTCGACAAACTATAAATGTTCAAAACTTTGAACCAAAAATAAGAAAATAAAGACTGCAACAAACATATTGGTCTACATTACTTTAATAGGCCCGGCATGACCAGGTGG